TCACACAGGGTTAAATGGGCTTGGCGGGTTTCGGCGGTACGGCTGTCACAACGGTCGCTTGATCCCGGTGGGATGTTGTTGTAGAGGAGCGATGTTGGCTTTTATGAGGGTCAGATTTGTTGTTAATGTTCTTTGGTGGCTTAATTGCCAAACAAACCATTCGTTCTTCAAGCCGACGCAAAAAAAAAAAAAAAAAAACGAGAAAGAATGATTCAGCAGTGCTAACTAAATCACCATCTTCAGAGTCAATAGTCGCTGGAAAACTTGAATGAATAGTTATCCCGCGTCATTCGGCAGCCCTGAGGTCTGTAGTTATTAGATACTGTCTCCACAGTTGAGTACTTCTGGTCTTTTGATGAATTATAAAAGCCGATAGCCCTCTGAATGGATGACCAGTGAAAACCAAACCTATGATTCTTTTCTTGAGGTACTAGCCTTGACCGTTCAATTTCCATAACATTTACAGTGCAAATTTTAATGCCCCGAGGGCGCGAAGCACTTGACTCTAGAACATTTGATTTTAACGAGGAAAATGGATTTGAACAGATCATTATAAATGAGTCTAAAGTCAACTGTAGCATGGCAAAGAAAGGCTTAAGGGATTAGTCTGGTCTTAAAATGCGTTTCTGGTCCCAGTTTTTGCTGTAAGAGTTTTTTCCTCCTTAGTTACTGTGGCACATAAAGTAGTATTCTAACAAAGGCAAGCTACAGCAAACGTCTGCTCTTTTCCGATACGGCTCATACCTGGTATGTCTATCGTCTATTTTGAACCCGATACGCTTTCATATTTCAAACGTGCTTTCTATATTGTTCCAGCAAATCAAATGTTTGCGCATCCACTCGCATTCATACACAAAACAGCCCTTGCGAACCCTTGAACCTGAATTTAACAAGCTAGATTGGTCTTTGTGTGTTAAAGACGACTTACAACGACTGCATATAAATCAGACTCTTGTTTTAGGTCGCTAATTAGACCCGAAATCCAGACACCTGTCTCGGCTGAATGATTAACTGCGGCGCAGGATATTGTATTGTACAGGACAGGAGGGATTGAGTCAAGCATTTAGTCAATATTGAAGTTGCGCTTCAATTTTTGGAAGCAAATTAGTGTTTATCTTCTACTTATTTCAATTATTTCTTTGCTAAGATTTTTTATGTTTTTGAAGGAAGTCTCTTATGCTCACCAAGGCTCCATTTATTTGATCAATAGTACAGTAAAAACAGTAATACCGTGAAATATTATTGCTGTTTACTGTGTGCGTAAACAGAACTTACCAAGATCAAAGTTAATAATTTTGATGTAGAAATGATCACAAATATATTTCTATTGCACATTAGAAAGTATTTCTTATAATAATAATAATAATAATAATAATTATTATTATTAATAATTATTAATAATAATAATAAACATGGTTGTTATAGTTGAACTGTCTTCACTATTATTTATCAGCTTTTTTTTCCAAAAGGCACAAGACTTTCTTTGAATGAGGGATCCAAATCTGGCTAGAATACAGACATGTATCTTTTGAGTTCAGCAGGTAAGTATTTACCAAGCATCCTCCCACAACATCCCGGCTTTGCATTTTTCTTCATAAGATGTAAAAATCTTGATGCTATTCCATTCTTTCAGTTTGCAATGTCAAGCAAAGGCAAGCATGCAGGCCAACCGGCCAAATGAGCTGATCAAATTCATGAGAATCCGAGCCTCCTGTTGAGAGAGAGAGAGAAAAAAACTGGTTAGGGCTTTGATCGTAATATTGTACGGATTATACTGCTGTTGTGCCCTTGAGCAAAGCACTTAATCTGAGCCTGCTCAGTAAATACCTAGCAGTAAAATCTGTGGAGAATATGTAATACCTCCCCTCAAAATCCAGCGAAGACTAAATAAAATTAACTGCAGAGCAAAGATGTTGTGGGAAATGAGCAGACAGATGATTTCCCTTGTTTGTTCTGCCAGTCTGTTATTCTCTTTACCACCTTGGCAAGTGTAAGAGCACTTACAAAAAGAGTCTTGCGTCTCTGAAATATAATCTCTATAAAACGGGACGCCTCTACTAAAAATGCACCAGCGAGTATCCTATGGGAACAGAGACTTGCCTTTGGCTCGGATTCAAAACCTTGTGAGCTGCCGTACTGTCTGCTGACTACATAGGCAGCTGGCTTGTAAGGCAGCACCCTCATTCATAGGAAACATCATAAGTGACTGATTTGGAGCGCTAGGTGTCAACCAGACTCAAAACAGATTTAAGCAGATTTAGGAGTTGGCATTTTGTTTAGCTAACAACATGATAATGCGGTGTTTCATTACGCTCCTTTGTTTATGTTGTGGATCATTACAAGCACGAATTGTTAGGTTATATCATATAATATCATATGATTTTCATAATAATTCACATAATTTCATTCACTTATTCTTTTTAATTTAATTTTAATTATGACTATTAAAAGCATGCAGTGGATGTATTTTTTACTCTTATTGCATTATATTATTTTAGTATAGTTTTAATTTAATACATTTTTAATTCAATACATTTTATGTATTATATTAATTTATTTATTATATTTATATATTACTTTTTATTTTTTTATTTTAAATGTTTTTCTACCATATTAGTTTTATCAGTGCCCATGTTTTTGTATGACTCTTATTGAATTTATATTTTCCCAGTCTATATTATATCGCTATACATTTTTTTTCTAAATTATAATTGTTTTTTTTTGTTTTTTTTTAATATAATTTTTCTACCATATATTAATTTGACCAGTGCCCACTTCTTCTGTTTGACTCTTATAAGAATACACTGATTTTATAGTTTCCCCCTCTTTATTTTTTATTTTATTTTAATCATTCTATGGATTTATATTTATACAATTTATTATTTTTGTATATTTTATAATAAATAATAGTATACTTATTGTTGTTAATTATTAATTAATGATGTATTATTTTTTAAATTGTTTTTATTTTCTTGCAATACATTATGGGATTATTTTGTGATGTATACATATGATGCTGCTGTATCATTTCATATAAAGTATATATTTTTTGAAGAACCCCTGAATCAGACGTGCATCTATGATGCCTTAACTTGCTCCCTACATGAACCGCTCACTATGTTGTGGAACACAGTCTTAGTATTCCGGTTCAAGGGACCATAAGCTGTATTTTTGCTCATTCACCTCCAGTTTTTTTATTTTTACAGTGTCTTACCTTCTTGTCAGTTTTTATGTCTTCCAGGATAACATTTGCCTCAAGTGAAACTTGAAATGTTTTTGTCAACTACCTACTACCCATTGTCCCTATCAAATATATACAGCTGATCATAACTCTCTAGTCCAGTGTTGTGTAAAACCATAACCTCTCCCCTCACAAACTGTAAAATATTCATGGTGAGACTGCAGCAAAGTCAATGAGTGTTCAATCAGTGCGTTCCCCTCAGCCGAGCCCCCAGTGTGCCGGCCTGTGATTTATTGCTGAATTAACACACTGAAGTCTTCCATTTCTCTGTGTTGCTTTGGTGCTCCAGGGTGGCACATCAGCTGAACGCTCGTGTTTAGATGACCAGGGCCAGCGGGCTCCTCTCGGGGGGGAACATCACAGCAGCTTTGAGAAGATGATCATGTTGAACACTTGTTGTGGTGCTTATGATTATGGTCTGCTGTTATTTTTATGCTGCAATCTAAACTTTATGCACTGGCATTACAGTGGCAAAAAAATCAGTTCTTAAACCGGTTTCCTGAACACTTCCCCCATCTACCATTGGTTGGATGCTTTGCCCAAAATTGGTTAAACCAGAAGCTGCTGTCAAACCCAATGGGGCAAGAATTTTATTTTTACTTGTACAATTTTAAAGATTTTTTTCTTTTCTTTTTTTTTTGTATGACTTTTAACTGAATGATTTGGATTGTTTATTAATACATACATATTAAATACAAATTTATATATATATATATATATATATATATATACACACACACACTATTATATGTATATATATATGCAAATATATATAAAAATAGTGTCCATTTTTCTCTGTATGGCTCTTAATTGAATGCAGTGAATGCATATTTTTCCCAGTCCATTTTGTTTTATCATATTATATACTTTGTTTTTGTGTATTTAAACAATTTTACAACTTTAATTAATTTTTTAATATAATTATTCTTATCTACCATATACGTTTTATCAGTGCCCATATTATATTATATATGTGACCCTGGACCACAAAACCAGTCATAAGGGTCAATTTTCTAAATTTGAGATTTATACATCATCATCATCATACATCTGAAAGCTGAATAAATGAGCTTTCCATTGATGTATGGTTTGTTATGAAAGGACAATATTTGGCCGAGATACAACTATTTGAAAATCTGAGGGTTCAATAAAATCAAAATATTGAGAAAATTGCCTTTAAAGTTGTCCAAATGAAGTTCTTAGCAATGCATATTACTAATCAAAAATTAAGTAAGAAATTTACAAAATATCTTCATGGAACATGATCTTTATTTAATATCCTAATGTTTTTTTGGCATAAAAGAAAAATTGATAATTTTGACCCATACAACGTATTGTTGGCTATTGCTACAAATATACCCGTGCTACTTATGACTGGTTTTGTGGTCCAGGGTCACATATTTACAGTTTTATTATATATACCATTTAATTTGTTTTTGGTGATATTTAAGATTACTTGTTTTAATTAATTTATTTTTACTGTACATACATTATCTGTGCAGATTTTTTAATGTAGGGCTCCTAAAAGAATGTAATGGATTTTTTTCTGTGTAATATTATATTATAGTTTATTATATTATATTAAATTTCATTAATTCTTTTAGATTTTTTTGTTTTTGTTTTATCAGTGCTCCTAAAAGCATGTCTTTGTGTGCTGTCTTTCATGTGCATGTTCTTGTGGCTCCTGAGTTATTAGTCACATGGCATTTACAGCTCAAGTGATTGGCTTAAAAACTTCCCTGCCCAGAACTGAGTGGCCATGAGTAAAGATGGCAGATTTCAAATTGCATACATCCTGAGCGCCTGCCAGACAGCTAAACGGATGCGACCTCCAGGTAAGATATACCTCCTGGCCTAAAAACAACAACAAACAAATTACACACTTGACTTTAAAAATGGCTGAAGCTCTGAAATAACATACATTTCAGAAAAACAATCTTTTCAGTTTGTGTTTGATTTGTCAAGATGAAATATCATTGAGAGATGCTCAGCAACCTTCACGAGCTGATAGAACTATGATATCTGTGCTTCCAGATGGGTGAAAATGGACAGAGCACCTTGGCGGTTAACAGACTAAATTGGAAGGACTGTAAGAGGGACTTGCCTGGAATTCAGAAAGCAGCGTGGATCATACGAGGTGAGAGTGGCTAGTTATTAAATTGGCCAGCAGGCAGAACGTGGGGGCAGACGAGACCTCGCAAAGTGCATCGCTAATGAGTTTCTGTAATGCTCCCTCTCATCTTTGAACCAGACCTTCAGATGGAGCCCATTGTTGGCAGGAAAGCCAATGCAGATTGTTAGCAGAGGCCGAACCTCCAGCCCAGCTTCCCTGGATAACTCCCCCTTTCTCTTAATCTATGCTAATGAAGCGGAAATCAAAGCCCGAAATGTCCAAGTAGCGTGTTTCCTACCTCAGTCATGTTCAAAGCTGTATTAAAGATGACGGAAACAAGTCTAGAGCATTCTTTCACTGCGTTATGTAGCCCACAGGGGCCTTGTGTTTAACTTCTCAAACAACCATGTTCGGCTTGTAACATGAATGATTCAGACTCTCGCATGACGTCTGTGTGGGCTGATGTTTTTAATGCAGTTTCTTGACATGCTTTTTTTGCACGTTCGTTTGCAGTCAGTTTTGGGGAATGTAATGGGCTACAGCATTGCGTTACTCGTTATAAAATGTAACTAGTTGTGTTACACCTTGTAGAAAATACACTTTTGTGCTACATTCTCTCACTGTTCATCTGACTGAGGTGTTATGCTTAGCTCACAGATGTTTTTCACATTAGAGATGCTATTTATTTTTCTTTTTGTGCTGTGCTCAAGTTTTACCCCCAGACATGTTTGCTTGTAATAGTATATAGGCTGTACCATGAAATTGCATTGTCAAGGTTTTTTCATTACTTTTTAATTGTATTTAATTACCTTCTTTTTCTATCATATTGAAATTTCATCAGTACCCAGATTTTTTTAATAATAAATATAATATAATATACATGTAATTAACTTTTTATTTTAATTTAATTACTTGTTTTTTCTATTGTACTATAATTTTATTAATGTCTTTTGTGTATGACTCTTAAAAGCATGCAGGATTTATATATTTTTCCCTTTCTAAATTATATATTGTTAAAATATAATATAACATAATATAATATTTGACTTACATTTTTTTCTGCTATACTATAATTTTATCAATGTCCATTTTTTGTATAACTCTTTAAAAACCTGCAGCATTTATATTTTTCCTCTCTGTTATTATA